TAGGACATGGACATGACCACAGTCTCAAAGGAGATATTAGATAAAGTCAAGGCTCCAAGAGTCATCCTACCTAGGGCGAGGGCAATGACCACATATAGGGAAGGAGAGTGGCCAGGAGACATGGTCAGGACTCTTGTGCAGGCCCCAAACAAGGGAGAAATCTCTTCTCTGCCCAAACCTGTTTCATATCCCAGATGGGGCAAAGAGTTCAGAAAACCGTTAAGTTTCTAAGTTGAATGTAAAGGTGAGGCAAAGACCGTTTTTGGTAATCTACATTTGTGTTCTGAGGTGTTGTCTTTCAAAGCAATGGAAGAAGTATAACAGAATGATTTACAGTATTGGGGTATCAAGATGCATCTGGGGGAGATGACAATAAGTCAAATCATATCAGTAATAAGTGACACCTATACAGTAGTTTATACTTCAAGAAAGATTTACTGAGGAGCCACATCTGGCAGATAGAACTCCAGGTCTGAAACTCAGATTAAAGATCTGGGCTAAAGGCTTTCCTTTGGAGACGTCCCAGAAGCTCTCCTGAAAGCCCGAGTCGGCCAAGGGAGACCTCCAAGGCTGCACCTTGAGAAGAGATGGCATTTACAGGATAAGGAGAGCAAGAAGAATTGTAGAAACAACGGAAGAGGAACATGCCAGAAAGAACTAGGGGTGCTGGAAGCCCAGGGAGGAAATGTATTCAGATGTGTCAGACTCAAAATATCAAACCCTGGAGGAGGGCCCTGACTCTGCCATTAGAAGGTCTTAGAGCAGAGAGACAAAAAAGGGGGAGGAGGGGTGGGTAGAGAGAGGGGATAATTTTAGAGTAACTGGAGGAAACCCAAGACGGCCTTCATGAAGGAAGTGGTATGTGGGTTCTAGCTGGTTTTCTCTCATCATGCATTCCTCCTAACTAGTCCTTCCGGTACTCAGAAATTCTCAGCACCTGTGACCAGTCCCTGTCCTGTAGGCGATAATTGGCCTCACTCACAACATCTCCCAAGGTAGAATTTAATTATCTCAACCCTTTGGCCTTGCTTTAAGTGATTGGCTCAGATATGGGAACAAGGCAGCTGCTAGCTTCGAGAAACTCTTCTTGGATTTGAGATCAAACTTCCAGGAAGGAGTCTTTATCTGTTAGATTTGCACCAAATGGATCTTGGGAGCTACTAGGGCCCTTTTGGCTCCATGAAGAATCCTCAGAAAAACAAGAGAGAAAGTTCACCAGTGTTGTTGTGGACACAGATCTCCCAGTTACTGTTAAAGCCTATTTGAGCCAAAATGCATTACTTAGCACTCGGGGCAGAGGGAGTGTCAAGTGCAGAGGCCTAGCTGCTCCAAACAAAATGGCTTGTCTGAAGGCAGGACCTAAGCCAGAGCCCAGAGACTGCAGGAGGGTCCCTGGGGTGATCCAGGAAAGCGTCATACTAATAGTTAACCTGGCAGGCTTTCCTCCCTTTCCAGGCATTGTTCTGAGGTGTTTACCTGCATAATTCTACTCCCTCCTCTATGAGGTAAGTAGTGTTATTATCCCCATTTTAGAGAGAAACAAACAGAAGCACAAGAGGCCAGGTAACTGGCCCATGGCCAGACAGATGGAAAACATGCAGCTGGGATTTATCCCGAGGCAGCCTGACTCTAGGGCCTCAATGCAAGTCACATGGTCTACAGGACCAAAGGCTGCTTTGCATGAGGTTGGATGAAGGCAGAGACCATGTATTTGATGACTGAAGGTCATCAATGGTCTTCAGTGTGGTGTTTCAGGGAGGGGTGGGGTGGAGGAATATGGAAGGAGGAATAAGATCTAGGTAGTAATAGGAACCAGGTGAGGGAGAAGCAGCTGGTAAGGCCCATCCATCCTGAGAGTTAGTCACAGACACGAGAAAAGCCAGTGTCAGCCATGGGAAGCAGCAGAGTCTAAGGCAGGACTGTGATGCCCCTTTTTTACTGTTGGTGGTAATGGCAGGCATCTGCTAGGCAAGAAAATGGACTGGGTAGAAAGTAGGTCTCCTGGGCCTGGAGAGATGGCTCAGCAGTTAAAAGCACGGGCTGCTCTTGTAGAGGACCCAGCACCCCCATGGCAGTTAATTATCTGTAACTCCAGTTCCAAGGGATCCAACACCCTCTTCTGACCTCCTCAGGCATTGAACGACACAAGTATACTTACATAAGTGCAGGCAATACACTCATACACATAAAATAAAAATAATAAAATAATTTTTAAAAGAAAGGTGAGGGGAAAATGTCCACAATAGTGTCAGAGTCTCAGCACACAAACACCATCCCTTCATCAGAGGAGACGGGAGGAAGAGGAGAGCAGGTAAATGTGTGAGCCACTTAGATGGCGAGGCACACAGGCAGCCAGAAACGCTGGACGTGAAGGTGTCATATGGGGGCAATGGGGACAGGCCATTAGGGAAAGAGTGGCTATTTCAGGAAGCCTTCAACTACCCATGTGCACACCGGTGGGGAGGGATGGGAAGCCTACATATGCCAGGTTCTCCCAAGGCTCCAGGCCACTGTCTTGATATTTTTCCCTTTCATTAAAAAAAAAAAAATGAGATGATCTTAAATTTACATATAAGTTATACAAATAGAATCATAGTTTGCTCTATTTATTGTCGAAACTCACTCATCTTCTTTGTTTTCACTTGTTTGAGACAGAGTCTCATTCTGAAGCCCAGGCCAGCCTGGAACTTACTATGTAGCCTGAAACTCATGTAGCTGACCAGGAATTCATGGCCACGAATCACACCAACCTCCCAAGTGTGGGGATTATAGGCATAAGCCACCATGTCTGACTCATCCTTTTATAAAAATGTTTATTTATTTATTTACTTATATATTTATTTATTTAATGCATATGGGTATTTTGCCTGCAGCTATGTAAGTGCACCACATACATGCAATGCCTGCAGAGACAGAAAAGGGAGTCAGATCCCCTGGAACTGGAGTTGCAGTTATTAGTCACCATGTGGGTGCTAAGAAACAATGTGGGTCTTCTGCAAGAGCAGTCAGTATTCTTCCCTGCTGGGCCACCTCTGCAACCTTCTTTACTCATCTTCCTTAAAGCAAGCCACAAGCCTGTCAGTCCTCTGCTTAAACACGTCACTGCACGAAAGTCACACTCTTTGGTGCATTCAAGACCCTTCTGATCCAGCTGCAGTGCCCCTTGACAGCCCCATCTCCCTCGGTCATTCTGCCCTTCCAGTCTGGATGCTTTCAACTCCTACGTAGTCCCTTGTCTCTAGATGCACAAGACATTGAACCTCCAAAGCAGAAGAGCCAGGCCTTGAACCTCTAACTTTTAAAAATCTTCCTTGGTATCTCGCAAATAATAGATGTCTCCTACAGGAAGTCATCAGAGCAGAGACTTCAAGAGACCAGGAAAAGGTAACAGCAGCATCACTCCGGGTCACAGCAGTCCCAAGCCCCCAGTGACTGAACTTCCCTAAATGGAAAAGGAAGGGCTGGAACCAAATAAAGACCCTGCACTCATCACCAAGAACCTCTGCCCAGTTCCTTCTTCCAGGACGTGAAGCACCAACCCAGTGGCTGGAACTGGAGCTTAGGAGGCAGACACAGACCTGCCCATCCCTGGGGTTGGGGTTGGGCCTCACTCAGTTCTTACGATCCTCACAACCAGGAGCAGCTCATGGGGAGCTCTGAGCTTCCTCCATAAAGAGGCAGAAACTTCCTGTCAACAGAAAGATACCAGCACCTCAGTCCTTTGCTTAGGAGAGGCCTCCCCAGATGGTGGGAGCTCTGGCTTGGGACACCACAAGTTTGAGGAAGTGGAAGATTCTAGATTAGGAGATGGCCCAAGGGCACAGGCTTACTTCCTGTTTGGTGTTGCTACTGCACACCTGAGCTGCCCAATGCTAGGGAGAGGCACGCTCACCTCCCAGTGGCCACTTGTTAGAACTGCAGCCCAGTGATCATGTCTCCAATTCTAAAGACTCCTGTGGGGTGAAGTGCCAGGAAGCCACAATCACTCAGCTGTGGGTGCCACACTCAGCTGTGGGAGATGCCAGTTCCACATGAAAAAGGAGGACAGAAACAGCATACACGACCGGGACAAATCTCCACCTTTTATTCTGGTGTTGGAAATTAGAACACATGAGGTCAAAGAACCCACTCAAGGCCACTTGCTTGTAAGTGTCAGTTCTGAGCCAAGTCATAGCCAACCCGATCCTAAGTTTCTTCCCCAATACAAAGAAAAAACTGGACTCTGGTTATGTGGTTGTTAATGTCCACTACACCTTAGAGTTGCTCAAGAAGTTTTAAACATATCTACTTATCCAACCTCACAGGCTTACTGAGTCAAAATCTCTGGGTGCGAGGTAAGAGTGGGCCTTTTGCTTCTCCAGAAAGATAGAGTGTGTCTTAATACTGACAGCTGGAAACGAGTGGGCAAGACTGCCAACTCAGGGAGCCAGGGAGCTTGGTGCATTGTGAATCCCTATACTGGCCATATAAAGTGTCCCATAGCATCTGTAAGATGAATAAATGAGTGGATGAAAAAAAAATGACTGCAAGGTTTTTTGATAGCCTGTAACCCTGTGCCTGATACACACAGAACATGCTATACACATGCACAAACACGGTACCGCTCAGGGGCAAAGGGGGATGCAGCCTGCTACACTGCAGGTGACCCTGGCTGCCTGACTCTTTCTCACAGTCTTGCACACATGCTTCTTTGTTAGGCTGTATTTATTGCCCAGGGGCAAAGGGGGATGCAGCCTGCTACACTGTAGGTGACCCTGGCTGCCTCTTTCTCACAGTCTTGCACACATGCTTCTTTGTTAGGCTGTATTTATTGCACACCCATTGGGTGCATGGGCCAGCCCCAAGCCCTGGCCAGAGATCCCCCCCCCCATGTGACCCCCAAGGCCCAGCCCCACTTTGTGGAGTTCCAGGCCTCCAGGGTTGTTATAAAACATCATTGGAAGGGAGGAGGGTGGCCCAGCAGCCCCCCCCCATGTGACCCCCAAGGCCCAACCCCTCCAGGGTTGTTATAAAACATCATTGGAAGGGAGGAGGGTGGCCCAGCAGGAAGGCAGGAGAGGCCATGTGTCAGCTGCTGGGTGGGCAGCAGAGGCCTACTCACACACATGGCTGAACAGAGACAATGGTGGCTGCTCCCCTAGCCCAGCCTCCTTCCTACAGGCACAGCCTCAAGTCCCTGAGTCTCCAGAACCTCCCCTAGAGAACAGGCCTGGCTGGGAGGAAGCCAGAGGGCAGTACAAGGGGATTTCCCAGGGTAGGGTAGCAAGGTTCTGGAAGCTGCTCTGGGGAGAGGAAAGGGGTCCTGTCACACACAGGAAGGCGGCTTTGAGGGGCATTTGGGAAGGGGTGCCTAGTGTAGTATTCCAAAGCTGGCTGAGAACCCATGCCTCCACCCTTCACCTTCGCCACCAGGCAGACTCCCAAGAGGAACAGTCGCCACCCTTTTACCCCTTCACTCTGCACAGTGGTCTGCACCTGAAAAGCCACCTTCATTGCTCCAGGGAAACAAAGGCTCCTTGTTCTCAGAGCTCCAGGGTTCTCCCCAGAGCTCTGGAGGCCCCCACCACTGCTGCCTTCCCTGGCTCAGGCCACAGGCTCTGCTCTGTGGATTAACAATTGGGCATGAGACTTTCTCGTCTGCCTGGGGACAAGGCTGATTAAAGCACCAGACCAGAAGCCTGAAGCCCCATAGCCTCCCTGAGTCCTTGAAACCTGACAGGGTGCCTGCCAGAAGACTGCTCCCTAGTGGGCAGAGCTGGAGCGACCCTGCTCTCTGGGTCACAGGATGCTGGTTACAATTTCCCAAGAGATCCTTCCTGCCCTAGCCTCCCTGAAACCCTCTGCTGCTAGGTCACCTAATTCTCAGAGCAAGACTGTCCCCAGGGATGGGGATGCCCTGGCTAAACAGCCTCAAGCTCCCTCCCAGAAGCCTAGGCCCCCATGTACTGAGGCTGCTCTGGATTCTGGGAAATGAAGGGGACATGGGATAGACTCTGGAAGTGGAACCAAGTCCTCATTCAACCTTCCTCTTCCCTCAAGAATGGTCAGGGATTGGAGCAATGGAGGGGCTGCTATAGGGGCTGATGAGCAGGCCTGGATTAGGGAAGCCAGAGAATCGGGACCAGAGAAAAGTGAGAGCTGTCTCATCTCTCCTCATGGCCCTGGTAAAATAAAGCTTCTTCGCAGGTTTCATCTCGGCCCGCCCCAGAGCAGGGTCCAGTGACTGTGAGATGGCGATGGCTTCACAGCTGATTACGGTTTCTCTTGGGGATGATCTTCCGATAGGTTCTGCGCTCTGAGATGTTGCGTTTCACCTTGGCTGTGGTGGGGGCCTCATCTTGATGCAGGGATGGGCTTGAGTGGGACTTTTTCAGGCTGGGCTTGAGCTCCAGAGTGCCTTCAGCTGCCTTCTTAAGCTGCTCCTCCCACAGAACCAGGTCCCCAGAGGGGCAGTGCAGGCGGGCCACCAGAAGCTGCACATACGTCTCATAGCGAGTTTTCTGCAACACACAACCCCACTATTGTACTGTAGTACTGTAACTAACATCTCTAGACCATGTTACAACTCCAAGATGTATAACCCACCATGTCTGGAATCTATGCAGCACTATACCCAAACAGCTCACATCTGGACCTAGTCCTACTGCAGTCTGAAGAGGTGCACTTTAACAACATGTAACTACAGATCATGATGCTAAGGATTCTCATCTTAAACTTAAAACTCAGCTTAAAACTCCTGAGGTCTCTGTGACTAGCATCCTAGATTCAGGTCCCAGTTTGTAAAGTGCCTTCCTACCCTCCATTCCACTAAATCCTCATCCCTGACCTGGGAGATTGGCTAGGCACAAATCATTCCCATATGATTTACAAAGGAGGAAATGTGGTAAAGGAAGACTAAATGTAGCCAGTGGCTAAAGGGCCCAGTTGGGCTGTGGTAGGGATAAGCTAGGTCCTTTCACCCTGAGTGACTTTTCACCTCTGGATGACCACCAGGAATATAACCAACAAGCCAAAGGGCTGGGAAGGGACCTTGAGAGTCAGAGAGTGACTAGGCTACATGAGGGCCAGGTGGGCACAGGCAAGAGGTCTCAGCCTCCAGATGATGTCCAAACCCTCTATTCTCACACTGTTCCTGGTCTACCCTTCCTTTCTAGTGGGTCTCCACCATATCCAAGACCCTTAAGACTTCTGGAGTCAGTACTTGGAATTAGAGCCCCAGAGTGTGTACTGTTAATGAGGCCAAGGCAGAATTGGGGTGTATGTTGATGGGGAGACTAGAGCTAATAGAGGTCATGTCTCAGATGAGAACCCAAGTACTAATGTGACCAGACAGCAAGAAAATTAATCAGATCTGGACAAATCATTGGATTTCTCTGGGCTTCAGTTTCTTCATTCATAAAATAAAAATAACATACCTACCCCAGAATTGTTGCATAATTAAGTGGTGAAATCCAGAGAAGTAATGAAAGCATGGAGTAGGAATTAGAAGGGGTACTTCAGCAATATCGTTTTTCCTCTATCTTAGGAAAAACCAAACACACTCCTAGGCGGAACAAATATCCTGTAAAATACTGTCCCCCTGTGCTTCCAGACAAGAAACGTTTCCAGACGAAAGGTATGGGGTCCTTAGTGCTCACAGACCCCACTCCTTTTGCGGTGCCCTAGCCTACTTGTGGGTGTGCCTCTAAAAGCAAGTCTTCCTGGTCTGGGACAGAGGGAACTGCGGCTACAAGGACAGAGGCAGCCAGGAGAGGGCGGCAGAGGGCTCAGCTAGTGAGTGTCCGAACCAGGCAGTTGGGAGATTGCAAATTCCCACCTCGTATTCCAGATACTCCTTCCGCAAGCGGTACTCTCCCAGCTCTCGACTTCGGCTCCGGCGCTCTGGTAAATTCCTCTGCAAATCCAGCAGGTCATCAGAGGCAGCGTCCAGGCAATTCTCATGGGATCGATGCTGCTCCTCCTGGGAGCGGAAAGGGGAGAGGAAGCTGACCCCAGTCCTCCAACCCCTCACCAAGGTGACTCTCTCGCAGCACTCTGGGTCCAGGTTGCACAGCCTTGCCCGCATCCCTGGGTCCAGGGGTGCCGCGTGTTCCTCAATCTGTCCCAAGCCAGGGTGCACGGCTCTGCCCACCACCCCTTCCTCCTGAGCATCCTTTCAGGACGCCCACACCCACTTCAGCCCTTCCCACACCTCAGCTGGCTAAGGGAAGCAGTACCAGAGAGCTCTGAGCCAGGCTCATGGGTAGAATAGGCCTCACGAATCTGCGTTGGGAGCCCACAGCGGCTGGAAAGGGTGGTGCCGAGTGAGTGGCAGCAGCCAGGTTGATGCGTGCAATCCAGGAAGTCATTTCCTTGGCAGTGCTGTGGGCGAAAGAGGCATGAGTTCCCAGAGGTATGGTCTGAGTCAGGTCATGCACCCTTCCCTCACTCTACCCCCCACTTCCCACACCTCTGGTATTGTCCCAAACCAGAAGTCCTGTCATTAACCAGTGGTTGACTGGATTTTATCTGTCAAACAGGAAAATCCAGGAAAGCAATAGTTCTTATATCAAATGTCAAAAGCATCAGGGGTTGGTGGCTTCCTGGAATCCTCTGTTCACAATTGGGAGGCTTGACCCTGTCTTACAAGGACAAGTGGGTGCATTGACCAAGGAGCAGCCGCACTATGCTTTGTCTCTGCATGCCCAACCCCTTTTGCAACACAGCATGCTAAGGTTTTCCTGGTCAAGATAGCAGCCCTCACGAGGGATGGGACCAACAGACATCAAGGTGTCGGGGGAGTGGAACTCAAGGCCTTGGCACTTCGTTCCAACCCTAGAGACTCACGGTGCCTGGAAGAGGTAGAGACGCCAGTCAGCAGTCCGAAGCTGGAAGACGTGGGGCTTCTTGGTGTAGTGGGTGGCTGGACTGGCCAAGGAGTGGTGCACCCCCACCGGCTCATCCACCATCTGCCCCACCAGACTCTCCCCCTCCAGGCAGTAGTCCTCTCCCTGCCACCATACACAGGGTTCAGTAAAGAGGTTATCAGCTACCCACCCTTCCCACAGTTCTGGGCCTTTCCTTGACTCCTACTGACTGGATTCTGAATAACACTTTTAACAACTGGCATCTTTCCAGAATGCTAGTATTACCTACTTAACATTTCTAAGGCTTTTGTAGTCCATATCCCAGAATACCATTCCCAGCCTACAAAGTGCTTATCTACCCTCCCCCACTGGATCTTCACCACATCCCTGTGAGGTTGGCAGTCAACGCTATGGATTCCCTTCCTACCTTTAGGAAGTAAAGAACCATCCCTCGAAGTAAGGTGTGAAACATCTTCCAGCCACGCTTGCCCCATGGCGCTGTCCCAAGAGCAGACACAAAGGTGGGTTGTGGCACCACATGCATACACAACCAGATATAGTATACACACAGTCCCTCACCCTTTACAGCATCTCCAAATCCCTCACAAGGATGTGTGTGAACACAGAGAACACACGGACATAAGAAAACATGTACAAATACAAATAGATATCTAGAGATTCCATACACAGAGAATCACACTAAGAAACAGAACCAGAGAACTAGTAATATATAAATATGGATGTTCAGGCAGGCCATCTGTCCCCAAACACCAGGTGTACACACCCAGCCTCAAACAATTCTACTTAGACATCTTCTTCAAGATGTGTAGATGTGTGTGCCCACCCAGCAAGACAGGGGCTCAGGTTCCAGCCTTGGTGTGCCCTGCCTTATGTAGCCCCCAAAGAGCATCCACCTACCCTTTCTCTTCCCTCCTTATTTCCCTCATCTTGGCCCTGGTATGGCAAGACCTGTTCTAAGCTCCTTGTGCAGAGAGAGACCCGCTCCCTGTGATCGCCTCCTCAGGGACTTCACTCCAGCCCCTGTGGCTTCTCACAGTCAGTGTTGATCACCACAGGCTGTATAATCTGTGGTTCTAGATTAGTCTATGGAGATCACTGCTCTGGTCAGGCAGGTGCCCTGCTCACAGCTTAACTGCTTTGGGAGTATTTTGCCCGAATGGCACCTCTGGCAGATTTTGTCCCAATGTGTCTCCCACCATTCCCTTTCACACATGCTGTGTTCTGAGTGGATTCTGCAATGCTCTTTTCTCTGTGGGGAATGTGCACAGACAACTGCCAAGTTCCAAACCCTCTTATCTTCCAAGGTTCCACTTGTCAGAAGCCTCCATTAAGCCAGTCCTCAGAGCAAAACCAAAAACCTCTCCCTCCTCCAGGTCCCCATACTCAATCCAACCTTCATTCCACATTCACCCACGACACTGGTATGCTTGTCTTCCCTTTACCACAGGGGTGCCAGGACCTGGGAATAACTAACTAGACCTGTTTCATCCCAGCACCCAGTCACCATTTAGGATACATGAAGAAGGAATACAGGTTGCTTGTTCCTCTCTCTCTGCATACCACGTACACAGGGCATGGTCACTAAGCGCAACTCTACACACACACAGCTCTTGTTCCCAGGCATCAGACACACTCACTCTTTTTGCCATCAGCATCATGATGCATCTTCCGGGCCAGGATACCCTGCTTGTAGGTGGGCATTGTGGGGTCCTGAGCCAGCTGGAGGAAGGGGCTGCTCATCTTGCCAGTTGAAGGAGAGGGCTGGGCCTTCTCAGGTCTGGCTGCATCCTCTTCATCTCTAGATGAGAGAATCAGGGTGAGATTGCTGATGGGATCTCCTCTTGCTGGGGAGGAACATAGTAAGATCCTCTCCAAAGAAGACCTCATCCAAAACCAACCTGTCAACTCCTAGAAACACTGCTATAGCCAACCCTCACCACCTCTGACTTCTGCAGCATTTCCTGGGCTCCTCTGTCCTTCCTGAAACTAGCCCAACCCCCTACCTCTGGCACCATCCACTCTGAGGAATGCTGTCCATTGGCCTGAACTCCAACTCTCAAGTGGGCAACAGAAGGAGGATAGGCCCAGAGGCAGAGTTGAAGGAGAGAGGAAGGGTTTTCACTTACACAGCCCATTCAAGCTTCTCACTTCTGATAGACCAGTAGAGGGCCTGGAATAGAAGGACACAGGTAGGCAGACGGGATGTGGTTCCTACGCTCACTCTGTTGGCAGACAACTAAGGGCGTGTGTTCCACCTCTTCCCTCTATCCCATCATAGCTTCCCCTCTTTGAGCAGGCATCTATCCATCTATCCATCTATCCATCCCCGTGCTTCATATTGGAGACATAAAGATGAGCAAATCAGCCAAGGCTCTGATTTGCCCAAGTTTTAGCAAGGCTGTACTGATCCTTTGGGAGGGGACATAAATCACCCATATACTCTCCTGCCCAGAGGGATCTCACAGTGGGGGAACTTGACTGAACAACCTTCATAATAAATGTTTGGTAAATGAATGAATGAGTGATGTGTTAGAACTTTTAAATAATATCACAAAGGGTGTTAGCATAGATGTGCCTTGCTTTTTTTTTTATAGTCCATAAAGTATAAATGATCACCAAGTAGATGAAAGAGCCAATAATCTAATTGCTTAAGAAGCACACTTGTGTGCCAGGCACAATGAATGACACTTGACAGATTTTATTTCACCTTGATAATGACACTATGAGGTGTTTATTCTCCCCGGAGCAATTGGCCAAGGGGTAAGTTGCTCAAGACCAGGAACACAATACTCAAGATTTTCTTATGTGAAACTTTGCCTCTTAGGCATTTAGACAACCAATACACCAGCACTTTTCAGACTTCAAATGAATAGAAATTTCCTTAATAAACTTAAAGCATTCTAAGAGACCCAGGTGCAGAGTGTGATTCTGCAGGGCTAGGGCTGTGAATCTGCACAGCTAACAAATTCCAAGATGCTGTTCATGCTGCCAGATGAGGACACACAGGCAAAGTCTGTCCTCGCAAGGGCATTTCATAGGAGCCATGCCTGAACTCTGAGTGCTCCTTGGAACTGGACTCCAGGCTATAGGCAGGGAAGACAGGGAGCCCTGGGTCCAGGCCTTGTGAGGAAGCCATACCTTCAGCAGCTCCTTGGGGAAGTTCCTGCCATCCTGCAGGCCATTCAGGTTGGTTATGAATTCTTGGCAGCTCATACTCTTCCCAATGTTCTGTGGCCACAGAGAAGTGGGACAGCTTGAACACCCCATCGTGACAGAATGTTCCTCTAGGCAGCCACTGGAGAACACCAGGACCCTGTCCTAACCCATCCCACACCTCTGATCTTCTCTTCCCTTCCTCACCATGCCATATATGACCCCTCACCATGACCTCTATCTTAGATCCATAGGTGCTCTGCCCACTCCTTACCTGTCCATGCAGGTCCGTATTAAGGAGCATGATCGCACAGGTCAAGGTATGTATGGAATCTGACCCAGAGAGAAGCAAGTGGAAAGCTCATTGGAACCTGGATTTCTGTGTCCTCTAACACCATTTCTCCACAGCCCTAACATGCTCTAAACAGCTGCTGCCCGACAAACTTTGAGCAAATACAGGGCCACTTTATGTCATCCCCAAAGTCCCTCTGCCCCATCCTCAAGCCCACCCCTCCATACCTACTGAGGGGAAAGTCCCAGGATTGCAGTAATGGAAGCGTTTGGAAAACTGGTAGAGTATTCGTTCCCGCTCCTGAGTCTCCCCGCTGAGTACCAGGGCCTCAAGAAAGCCTCTGTGAAGGAGAGCCAGAATTAAGGAGAGCCATGTCAGGAGGCTCCACGTACTCTAGGAATTCTAGACCACTGCCCCAGTTATCCCTCCCCCGAGAGGGTCAGAAGACGTTACCGGAGGGCTCGGTCCAGGCTCTGGCCTCCAAACTGGAAGAAGGACAGGTATGCCTCAGCCACGGCCCTGCTGAAGTCATTGCTGCAGAGGGCAATGGAGATAAGGACGGGGATCAGGATGGGCTGCAGATGCAGACGGGCCCCAAATAAGGAGAAAGCATGACCAGGCTAGATACCAGGTCCTAAGAGGGCAAGAGAGCAGCCAGGGGCTAGCGTGCCCCTGACAGCTGGTTCAACACTGGGATGGGCCACATGGGGTCTGGAATGGGTAAAGGGAGAGTTCAGGGCATGGAGAAGAGGGGATTCATATGTGACTGAGAAGCAGTAGGGATGGCTAAGGTGAGGCAGGGGGCATGGAGATGAGCCAGGACAGAGATGAAGGGATGAGAGGTAGTGATGAGGCTGCAGGGAGACAAAGGGGACAGAGGGTAGGGAAGGAAGGTGGCCAGCAGAGGAAGCCTATGGGCAGCTCCTTCCTGCCCTCTACCTTACCCTTGTTCCTCAAAAGCCCCTTACTTCTTGCGCAGGTAGGCGGCCACTTCAGACTTCCGGAAACCATCCAGGTGATAGAGGCGCGAGGCTAAGTCCAAGGCCTCCTTGTTATTCCTTATGCCATTGGCCAACTTGTCTCCAGATGATGGCCTCCGGCCTTCTTCTGGAGATAAGGCTTGGGGCATGGGGCCCTCTGGAAGCCTAGAAGAATCCATTGGTGTCCTCAGACTCATACTTGGGCATGCAGGGGTTATGTATCAATTATCCTTGCAGGCCATGGAAGGAGGAGCTGAGAGCTCAGGGTTACAGCTAGAACTCCTGGGCCTTGAATGTTGGGGTCTGGAGAAGCTGAATTCAGGCCCTCACCCACTGAGAGACAGGATCATAGTCAGCTGGGTCTAGGTTGAGCTGGGACAAGGGTATCCCCAGAGAGGAGGTATTCACACAAAACCCAGAAGATCGAAGCCAAGCTTGGTGCCACACACTTCTCTAGATAAACCATAGGGATGTTCTATGCTTATCTCATCTTGAATGGCAGGTGAAGTCCTCTGAGGACCCCCAGTGGGTGTCATCCAACCCATGATGAGATGGGATTATCTCCTTCATCTCCAGCCATCTTTATATGCTTCCATGCCCCAGACTCAACCCAGACCCAACTCCTAGCTCCAGAACCAAGGAGTAAAGATCAGGCTGTGGGGCCAGGAGGCTTTAGGAATGTCAAAAACTAGAGGAATTGGAGCTGGAGGAGATGGTTCAGCAGTTAAGAACACTGGTTGTTCTTGCAGAAGACCAGGGTTCAAATCCCAGCACCCACATGGCAGCTAACAACTGTCCGTAACACCAGTTCCAGGGGATCCAAAAGCCCCTTCTGTCTTCTACGGGCATTGAACGACACAGGTGCACTTAACTACATGCAGGCAATACACATATACACATAAAATAAAAATAAATAAAATATTTTTTAAAACTAGTGGAATCAGAGAGGATGTTTCTGATGTACCCTTTCCTGCCATAAAGAAACTGACAGGCATAAACAGACCAGGGCAAGTCACAACACAGAGACCACTCAGACAGTCTAAAATGAAGATTTTCAGAAAGTACTCAATCCCAGATCTACCTGACTCCTGTTCCCCTGCAATCTTACAACCAGGTGTCAGGTAACCCAAATATTTACATATTCATGATCCAAGTTACTAGTTAGGGAGTAGTACAGGTAGTGGAACATCATCACATGAAAAAACAGTCACCAGAAACTGACTAATCAGTATTCACTCAACAGCGCTATTCATTTAACATGAATGAGTAGACCAGTGCTTTGCTGGGAACTTCTCTGCTTCCTAAGCCTCTTGAACATCCCTCAATGCAGCATAAATACAACAGAGAGTCGCTGAAAAGTAAAATTGCAAAAACATTAGGCTTTCATAAAGCCCATGAAAGTTGTGCTAAAAGACTTCAGGAATCCCAAGGAAACTCACTGACAAATGGAGAAGTGTAGGTTCACTAACTGAAAAGGAAACAGCAATAATGATGTAATCATCACCTCTAAAGAGAATCCTTCGAATAAACCAAGGAAGGAAGCCCTAAAACATGCTCTAACAAATGACTTAGTCAATAACATTGTTACTACAATGATGTCTGGATGGGGAAGCATGTTGGAAAAATGAAAACACTATGCAAATAAAAATTTTCACAAAACTGTACACTCTAAATTGGTGAACCATATGGAAAATGAGTTATATTTCAACAAATATATATGTATATATACATACATATATATATGTAGCTTCATGATCTCACTTTGAAAAATAAAGGGTAAATAAATGAGGCCAGGATGGAGCACACCTTTAATCCCAGCACTCAGGAGGCAGAGGCAGGGAGATCTCTATGAGATTGGGACCAGCCTGGTCTATGTAGGGAATTGAAGGTCAGCTGGGACTATAGCTGGGACTCAAAACACACACACACACACACACACACACACACACACGCACACACACGCACACGCACAAGAATGAAGCTAGGAAAATTTAACTTTCTATATAGTGCTACATAAGATTAAGAAGTTTAAACACACTGTTTGGTGCCATTTACCAAGGTTAAATCCCACTTAGGCCTTCTTTCCATTATTCACTCTGAAGGTTGTTCCGGGCTGATTTGCTTTTCCTCTTTCCTTTCATCTTTGGTACAACAAACCTTGCTTTGCAGATACTGAGTCTTCTGTGGTTACCTAGCCTTTGAGAGGCTCCAGGGCAACAAGTTTCCAGATGCATGAGGAACATGGATCTTTGATTTGTGGCACCAACTGACATTCTCTTGCCACCACCCAGGGATCCTGAGATGGGAGCAGGGGTCACCCTCCAGTCACCACAGCATCGGGTTCATGATCTAAGTCCCACTGGAGCTCCTTTTAGTTTTTGATTTAACCAACCAGAATAATAAAATCCCTTTACCCCAGGTAGAGCCCAGAGGGCAACGACTCTTGATGCAACATCCTAGGGCAGGTAGTCATCTCAATCCACTTCCCAGTGGACCTGCTTCTACCTCTAACTGCAGTTTTAAGGTTAAACAATCCTGTTATGGACTCCAAGGTCATGTATCTGTATCTCTCCAAGGTCCTAATCAAATCTCCCCTTGCTGAAATCTCAGGCAGCACTCTAGGCCTGGGCTCCTTAGTGAATTTCTCCCAGAAACCTCAAGTTCAAAGCAGTCTACAATCCCCACTTACTAGCTCCTACCTATGATCCTTCAAGCCTTTGCATGTCCAGGTCAGATTCCCCAAATGTCTTTCCTTCTCCTTCTCCTGGTGTCTAGTTGGGAACTCTTATGGCCCTGCCCTCTGCATGCTTAAATCCTGCCTCTAATTGTGACTGTCTGCTCTGTATGCTTTTAAACATTCCAGTCTTTTCCCAAACAGTATTAGAGCCCAATCATATAATCCTATATAATCCATATATGACCATGTGGATAGAGCATTAAATCTTAATGTATTAAAAATAAAAATAAATAGGGAGAGCTAGCTGGCTCAAGCAGGTAAGAGTACTGGCTATTTTTGCAGAGGACCTGGGTTCAGTTTCCAGCATTCACATGGCAGCTCACAACCATCTGTAACTCCAGTTCTGGGGGATCTGATGCCCTCTTCTGGCCTCCACAGACACTGCATGCACGTGGTGCACTTACACAGGTAAAACATTTATTTATACATATAAAAAATAAAAATAAATAAATCAAAAACATTTTTAAATTTAAAGCTTGATGTGCATTTCTCTTTCCACCTAGACCAGGGTATTCTTAAATACAATAGATTAGGAGCCCTGGGACTTACCCTTCTGCAGAAGTCAAGTGACCGTGGGGCTGAGTAGCGGCAGCCTCTTCAGTTCTGGCTGTATCTTCACTCTGTGCTTCCTGCCTTGGGTTTGGAGCCTCCTCTGCCTCCTCCTTCTTCAAGAAACTTGACTCTAATCCATCCTTCTTCAGGAGTGAAGTACGTGAGGTATCTAGTGGCCACTTGGGAAAACTGCTGGGGCTGTGGTGCTGTATCTGTGGGCTGCCCTCCTGGGAGGACACAGGGCTGGGTCTGGGGCCAGGACCTCTGCCCTCAGAGTCTGAGTAGCTAGGTCTTGGTGAAGAGGTTTGGCTCCCCCAGGGGCTAGGGGCCAAGGTGCAGGGCTCAGGTTCCTGTCGACTCCCAGCATCCCTCTCACCTGAGGAAGAGCAAGAATGAGCAAGCTCAGGACAAGAGACAGGAAAACAACTGACTGCTGCCTCCAGATCTGCTCTCCACAGGCACCTCCCTAGAGCTTGGCAGGATGCCCTGCCCTATTGCAGACACTGATCACTCTCTGTCCACCGGGCAGTACCTCTCAGGACTCCAGTCCCTAGATAACTCAGGGCTCAGGCATTTTGCTGAGCAGGTAATACCCAGGCATCAGAAATGCTGGGTCCTGTATACAGCCCTTCATTCTGTAAGTATTGGAAAATTCATTTATTGACGAAATCACAGCAGAGTTAATCCTAAGTCTGTTGGGCTCTAACGCAGTACAATGAACTTAATCAAGACCTTTGTCTCCACTCTGTATCCCAAAGCCTCCCACCGCCCAATTTCCCAGACCCCTAAATTGAGCCTCACCTCTGTTCTGGGAGGGAAGAGGCTCCTGAGGCCAAGTACCACCTTCTGACTGCCAGTCCTCGGGGATGGGTGGGGCCTGTTCAGAGAGACTCTGTGAGCCCTGGAGACAAGAGATAGGAATGGAGAAGAGGGGAAAGAGCTGAAAGGATGACATCAGGAGTACTGAAGTCCCTCCCTCCTGGAAGTAAGTCCCCCCCACCCCAGATTCATATACACTAGTCTGGGTCCCCAATTCAGGAACAGAATTGTGGACAGGAGAAACACCACACCACAGCAGTCCTGCTGCAGGGCCCAAGAAATCAATGGGTTCAAAGTCCCTCACAGATGGAGAAGGTGAAGCACAGAGAGGGGAAGAGACTTGCCCAAGGCTGCAGAGGATGTGGGGCGTCAGGGCTAAGGTCATATCCAAAGCATTCTGATTCCTGGGTCAATTCTTGGTCCGCACAAGGTGCTTCAGGTGAGCCAAGGCTAAGACTGTCTTTCAGAGAAGCCTAAAAGAGGGCACAAGAAGGGAGGAGAGGAGATCTGCCCACAGGGAAACTGTTCCAGGTCCTCTTCTATTCCTTATCAGGCCTCCCCTCCTCAAAGGCTGCCCAGATGGTCCATGTGGGGCTGCTCTCATCTCAGGAGAGGTGTGTTATAGGAAGGGTGATGCCGACACCCCCCCCGGGGGGGGCTGAACTCCCAGGCTTCCCTTTGAGGATCTAATGCTTTAGAGGGAGGTCCAGAAACAAGGCAGCTCCAAGGGACTGCCATCCTCTGATCTCCACTGTTCCTCTGGAGTGGAGAGATTAGAAAGTTATAGCCTCCCTCTGCCATCTTGAGTTCCCCTTATCTCTGAAGCAGAGGACTTTCTGGGAAAACTGTGTTCCTAATTGTCTCACATAACTTGTCTCATCCCTGACTGACATCAACAGTCTGCTGGATTGTCATAAGGGCCTGAAGTATTGACCCCTAGACAGTAGGAGATGAAAGATGGTAAGCTAAAAGTAGCAAAATACTGAAAGCTCTCAAAAGAGAGGACAGGACTCCTAGAATAGACACCTTTCCATTGGGAACAAAGGTCAGCCTAGGCTGCCCTATGACAGTTGGGAAAGCATAGGAGGTAGGAGGGAAGGATCTGAGAAAGGCCTGATACACCCTGCCAAGGAGCTGTCTGCGCTCCAAACCAATCTAGACATAGCTCTGTGGAGTTGCTGACAGGGAGATTTGAATAACGAATTGCCTCCATGTTCTAGTTGACATTATTGTACTGATAAAATTTCCCACTATTCCAAAGTCTGTACTGATCAATCCTCTTTCTCTTGGTGTGTGTGTGTGTGTGTGTGTGTGTGTGTGTGTATTGTGGTATGTGTATACAGGTGCACTAGCCCATGTGTGGAAGTGTGGAGACCAGAGGCTGATGTTAGTGTCCTCCTCTACCTCTCCTCATCTTACTTTTGAGACAGGATCTCCCTTACTGAACCTAAGACTCAACATTTTGGCTAGACTGGCTGGCCAGCTAGCTCCTGGGATCCATTTGTCTCCAACCTGCCCACTCCCCACCCCCAGAACTGGGGTTACAGTGTACATTGCCCCACCTGGCTTTCACGTGGGTTCTGGGGATCCAAATTCAAGTTCACAAACTTACACAGCAAACACTTTACCCACTGAGCCATCTCCCCAGAACCATACATCTTGAGCAACAATGTGCTCTATCACCATAAATCCCAAAAGGCTCCACCATCTCAACAGTGTGGGGCTGTGGCCATTGAGGAAGGATTCCCTGCCACATCCCCACCACAGCCCTGGTTTATCCCTGAGCTAAACTTACCTCACCCTCCTCTTGAGCTGGAGGTGTTGTGGGAGGCCCCTCAGTAGCCTCAGAGGCCCAGCAGGGGTGTGTCTTATAAGAAGGCACAGGGAATGGAGGGGTGGCACATCCACCATGATCAGAAGTGTCACTCTCCACATCTGGCTCCCTTCCTAGCTCCCAGAGCCCTGTGCCTTCTGGGAGTGGAGACTCCAGAGTTTGACGGCTATCAGGCCAGTACCTCATATCTGGATGGGAGTCTGAGAACCCCCAGGAAAAGCACTCTCCTCCAGCACTGGTGTCTGAGCAAGGGCTCTCCAGGAATAGGGGGTTGTCAAAGAAGATACTCTCTTCCTCTGCACCCCACTCTGGGGAGGAGCCTGGTGTTTCCCCCCTAGGCCAGGTCTGGTTCTCTCCTTCAGGCCCACTGCCGTCATCCCCAGAGTCTTCATCTTCCTTGGGTAAGCTGGAGCTCAGGCTGACACCACCAGGGAAGTCCTTAGGGGGTGAGGGGAGGCAGCACCTCAGGCCTGCCCTGAGCCCCTCTGTTTTCTCCAGCTCCTCCTCTAGGTCCAGGACGCACATCTGGGCCTGCAAGATGCCAGCCCAGAACACTACCTGTGTGGATGAGCTCTGGTTCTGTGGAGGACTCCCCAAAGGGCAGTTGTCCCCCAATGTCCCGGAAGATGCTGGAGTTTGTCTGGGCTCCTCCTGGAAAGGACAGCTTCCCAGGTGAACAGGCTCCACACCAGAGCCACCATGATGATAAGCATCAGGCTTGGTGGTTTCAGGGGGGTCAAAGGCCCGGGTGTGTCCCTGGCAAGGTTCAGGAGAGCCTTGATTGCCACACATTTCCCGTGGGCATGCTCCTGGACAGGACTGCAGGTTGTCTCCCAAGTAGTTATTGAGAAATTCCATGGATAGAGGGTCAGAGGGTCTGTTGTCGCCCATCATCCACAGAGGGAAAGCTGAGCAGGAGTGCTTGGTAGTGTCCGTTTTCACAATGCCATTTCATGGCTTAGGAGGAGAACCAGCCATGGGGACAACTGAGAATCCACATCTATCCTGGAAACCATCAAAGTGAATTCAGGTTAGGGAAAGACTTTAAGCCTTTGAATGCCCAGAGTGTTAGACATGTCCAGAGCACATGCCATACTGTTAGCAGTGTCCGCCTACTGACACTGCCCTCACAGCCCTGCCAGGGGGAAGGGTGTACCAGATATGTCCTCTAACCTCACAACATCAAACTGGCACCAGAGAAGCGCCTGCTCCAAAGACACCCATCGTTGGCTGAAGGAGTCCCACGTGACTTAGCATAAAAAGGATCAACTGCTCAGATCAAATCCTTCCCTTCAGAATTTGAATAGAGAATGCAGATGGAGGTCATTGACAACGGGAATGGTGGGAAATGACTCAGTGCACTGTGAGAGCAGTGGAAGGTCAAAATTACATGTAAGCCAGAGCATGTAGGGGTCAGACACAGGCTATAGAGGACAGGATAAGGGAGCAGCTTCCAGGAGAGAAAAGGTACAGCCTGCCTATTTCCTTGATGCAAGGTTCCTGTTCGTGGCCCTTCACAAAGCCAGCTCAAGGCTGGGTCTGGTTCCTTATATGATGTAAACAGCTGTGCAGCCTGGCCCAGGCAGAAGCACTAAGGATTCTCTAATCACTCATCCTCGTGGAAGGAGATGCTCTGGTCCTTCTGCCCCACCAAAGAGCACATCACCTGTTCCATTAAAAGGAGATTCCTGCCTTCTGGAGAGAGCGAGACAGGGAAGGGGCGCCCACGTGTACCTGACATTTCATACAAACAGAGCTGCCCTGTCTGTCACTCTGTCTGTCACTCTATGGTTCATGGTCTGTTCCCATCAGATGCAGCCAAGAAACATGTGGGTATGTCCTTAAGAAGCATGAGTCTTCACCATCTGTGTGAGATGACGACTTCCTTGGCTCCCAGAGCAGCCCAGCTTCCTCTTAAAGACTGGTTTGTTCTGATCTAATAGATGCTGGAACATGATTTGTGATCTGTTTCCCTTTTGTGCTGGCTCTAGGAAGTGCAGCATTAAGTACACAGGCCTACGGCATGTAATTCCAGTGTTAAACACACCTCTGGTTTCATCAAATCTTTATTTTCCTTTTCCCCTACTTTCTTCATACATAAAATTCTTTCTTAAAAGACTTTAGGTGTGCTTGCAAACTATACCAAAATGTTTGGGGGACCAGGTCATAAATAAACACATATAGATATCCTCTTGATCTACATCCATGAGTGACTGCCACACAGCCAAGAATGCCAACCCCTTTCATGTGTCCAGTTAACCCTGCCTATCTTTGCTCCTACCCATACTACCTGCACCCGGAAGGCAAGCACATCCTTATTGGAACTGTCTCACAGATGAAACGGCCAAAGTCTGAACCTGGTTTAATGACCCATAGCTGAAAAGGTAGGTTCCGCTGACCTCAGACTACCCACTTTCCAGTCCATGGCTCCCTCACCCACTTCCTGCTGTATGTGCTTCCCTCTCTGTCACAGCTAAGCTAACCTCTTTAGCACCTCCTCCTTGGGGTTCTTTTCCCAGTCTGAAGACCTCAAACTGAGTTCCTACCCCAAGCAGGTGGTAAGAGGGTAGGGTCTTACCTGGTGCGGTGCCCCAAGGAAACCCACAGAGATGAAATCAATTCCTCCATGAACGAACAACCACATCCCAAGGGCTTAATCCCCTCCCTACCACTTAGAGCTGAGTGACTGAACCCAGAAAGTCAGTCCTGTGGGGGTCTCACCTCAGAGAGGAGCTGGGTGATTTACGCATAGCTGTAGGTATCAGCCCAGGGTTGGCCCATACTCTTAGACACTCAACAAATGGTAACCCTCAGAACTCATAAAACTCATAAAAGACATGGCTTTGCCTGCAAGTTCCAGAGAGAAGTGAGCTGGGTGTGATTGGCTGATCTTGGTTGTCAACTTGTCACACCTGGGGAGAAAGAGCATTTGTGGGGCATTTTCTTGATTGCTAACTGGTGTAGAAGAGCCTGGCCCACTGTGGGCAGTGCCATCCCTAGGCAGATGGGCCTGGGGTATATTAAAAAGCATGAGCCTGGGAGCAAGCCAGAAAGTAAATCAGTAAGCAGCATCCTCCACTGGTCTCAGCTTCAGTCTCCTGTTTGAGTTCCTGCCTTGGCCTCCCTCAATGCTGGACTGTGACCTGTAAAATGAAATAAACCCTTTCTTCTCCAAGTTGCTTTCAGTCAGAGTGTTTTATCACAGCAGCAGAAAGCAAACTAGAACAGTGGGGCTAATATGCACATGTTTCTTCATCTTCAAAGTCTCCTGAAAGATCTTCAAAAATAAGGACCCTTAGCTGGGTTCCTCCTCCTCCCTCTGTCCTGACCCCATATTCCTCACTTTTAGTAGACTATGAACCTGGAGTTGTTCAATGACAACCTCTTAATTCTGAATTTTTACCTCCCTAGGAAAGGCCCCCAACCAGGTTTCAATTCCTTCTATTACTTAGTGATAAGCCTCCCCTAAAGACTGACTTCCAGAAAGCAGAGCCATTTCCTACATTTAACCTTGGCTCTGAACCAGTTAGGCCTCCATTATCATTCTGGGTTCCATCTCTCCAACACATGTTCCCACCCCCAAACTACGAGCTTGGGACTTACAGGGTTTGCTCTCTACATCAGAAGAGAACATCAGAGGAGCATGGCCTTCTACCTTGGCCCCTGCACATCTGCTCATTTCTGTCATCACCACTGTCTGAGTAAGAGGCTGTGACAGTGCTACTTCCAAGAGGGAAGAGCCCAGTGGGCTTCCCAGAAGAAACCCAGTGCTCCTGTCTAGAATTCGTCATAGGGGGAAAAAATGAGAGAAACTGCAACTTTCCAGAGATCAGAGGAGAGAGCAGATCTTTGAGGCCTGTTGTCTGAAGGACCTGGAAGTGGAGGAAAGTGCTGGGAGGTGGAGGAGAGGGCTGGGGAGTGAAGAGAAGTCTAAGATAAAGGCTGGGGAGGGGAGTTAAGAAAGATCACAGGCCACTGGTTGGTGGGGGTAAGGTATGTGGTTTGACTGGGTCAAGATTCTTTAAGCCAGTTAAAGTCAACCAGACTACATTCCACCCAACTCTAATTTCAGAGCATTTATCCCAGTGTGTGATTCTCAGTGTTTACTCACAGGCTCTGGTTGCCTGGAAGTAAGCAAGCACTGAGAAGGCAGGTTCTCGTGGGCTTCCTTTTCACTGCTGAGTATTCAGTACTGACGGATCATGTACTCCCTACTGCCATCCACAAAGTTCTGGGTAGCATAGTGCTATCCTCTAGTTAAGTGGCTCTAAACTTTCAAGCCTGGTGTTGGGTTGCCAAATTTAGCAAGTAAACGTGAAGGGATGGGCATGAAGTAACGTGGTAGAGTCCTCGTCTAATGTGCAAGGTGCTGGTTGATATCCAACAACCTTGAGAAAAAATCGGGGACATATTTGAAACATTCTACTAATTTATCAGAAATTTCACATTTAACTGGGCAGTCTATGTTTTATCTGGCAACCCAACCCCATGGGGAAAGATAAAGTGTTATCCAGCCACTGCATAGGCTGCTCACCGAGCTGTACAGCCGAGTTCATCTCTTGCCAGCTACCCCACAAATGAGAGAAACAGAAACATCCCTTCTTCCTAGCCAGGAAACTAAGGCTCAGTGAAGTTCACAAATTTATCCCCCATAGCTCAGCAAGCAAGCAAGGGAGCTGGGGTCTGAACCAGTCTAAGGCTCTCCCAAGCATCACTCACGTTTCCTACCCACAAATCAGGAGAGAAGTGTGTACCTTTCTTTGTTTTTTAATTGTGCTTCCCTGAGTGGATGGGTCAGACAACCTGAGGAGTATAATCCATGATGGATATCATGGCTGCCCTACTTGGGTGAGGAGGGAGATTGGTCTTTATGACCTGAAGAAGGGATGGAGTCTCTTAAACAGAGGCAGGCCAGAAAGAAGGGAGCAGAACACACTTATCTCATGCATACATCTAGATTTTTTTCTACCATCAGAGTTTAGAAAAATCTATTGTTTTGACATTTATTAATTATGTGTGTGTGTGTGTAAGTCAGAGAACAACTTGTGGCAGTCAGTCAGCTCTTTCCACCATGTTCCAGGGATCAAACTCAGGTACTGAACTATTTTGCCAATCCAGTAAAATCTTTTGAAATCCCCTGTCTCAGGTACTAAACAAAGCTGGGAGGAAAGGATTCAGCAATACAAAGAATGTGCCTCATAAGTTAGATTCTGCTACCTCTAAAACAGAGTGGCCTTTTCGTTTTCTGAGTACAGTTACGGTTCAGGAAGTTTAGGGGCACGTTTTGCAAGGCGTAGAATGGCTTTGTAAATCCAGGAAAGTGCTCCAGAGATTGCACAGGGGGTGGGGGGGGGGGGGGGGGGAGTGGCAGAAAGCAGAAAGCAGCAGCACTTTTCCATAGTGCACCCTCTGCCCAGACCTTGGGCTCCTCCTATACTGCATTTCGGGTCATTTTCACCAGGAGGTGAAACAGCTGGAGGATGTTTTTTACAGAGAATACTGCAGGGGGAAAACTATGCAACTGGCTGGTGGAAGGCAGAGGCACAAAAAGTGGTATCTAGGGAACCAGGAGGTCACTGCACCCTAGGGATTCAAGACTTTTTCTTCCTTCCTTCCTTCCTTCCTTCCTTCCTTCCTTCCTTCCTTCCTTCCTTCCTTCCTTCCTTCCTTCCCTCCCTCCCTTCTCTTCTTTCCTTTCCTCCTCCTTCCCTCCCTTCCTTTTTTTTTTTCTTTTGTTTTCTCAGGGTCTCCTTATGTAGCTCTGACTAGCCTCAAACTCAAGGGCAATCCTCCTGTGTGTCTGCCTCCTGAAGGCTGGGGTTGCAAATATGCACTACTATGACTGATTTATATGGTATTGGGAATGGAACCTAGGGCTTTGTGCATGGCAGGCAAAGATGCTACCAACTGAGCAACATCCTCAACCCAATGGGGTTTTGTCTGTTTGTTCTGTTGTTATTGTTGTTAATTTTAGGACACCTGCATTGTAATGTCTAATACTGGAT